TACGTCGACGACGCAGGTGCAATGTTCGCCAGGTGCTGTATGCAGGCGTGCCGTACTCACTTGATGAGGAGCAGGTGTGCCGCAATACAATGTGCCGCGAACGATGTGCCGCGTTATCGAGCAGATGTTCATGGAAGGTAACTACCGATACTGCTAGTTATCCTCATTAGTACATGTGCGTATCTCTGAAATTTTCCGTGTGTACCAACGACTGGGATTTTTCCACAATCAGCGCTCAGACTGAAGATCAGCAAGCAGCCAGGAGATAATGACCAATACGCTCAAGAAGCATGTTTCTAATATCATGTATCATCAGTGGAACACTTTATTTCAGAAAGTATCCATTTTCAGTCAGCAGTATCTAACAATTCACTTAAATTGTGAATTGATGACTCCTCAGTTCAGATCAAATTCATTATTCAATATTAAAGTACTAAATTCTCAAGTCATGTAATCAGTAAGTATAAGCTTTATGATAAGCTTGTACGTCCAATTTTAGTATTTCCGAGGACGGAAATATTTTAAGGAGGGTGGATTGTAACACCCCGAGTTTTAGTAATAAAGGAAAATACTAGTTTTTTAATGTTAAGCTAGCCTTTGTTACTAAATAATCATGTTCATGTTTAAGTTCAGGTTAATCAGTTAGTTATATTCCAAGTTCGACTATTAGTCGATAAATTATTCTGTTTAATTATTTAAGTAACCGAATAAATTTCCAGATTTAATTCCGATTCGTTTCTTTAATTAATGAGTTCGGAATTAATTATTCAGTCAGGAATATTCCATCATGTTAATAATATAAATCATGTATTTAATTCCGATATAATAATATTGTCGAGTATTATTTTTGGAATTAATCATTTTCAGTCGAGATTACCCGAAATTATTTTCGACGTCACGTTTACGTTCAAAATAATTTTGGTGCTAATAATGGATATTAGTTAAATAATTAAGCATATTGAATTATGCTTAATTAAGGTGATAATCATGTTTAAGGTATTAATTGCCGTGAGCAATTTTGCACATAAAGTCATGTTGATTTTCCCCATTTCTTTTTCCAAAGCCGTGAGTTTATTTTAGTGGGCAATTAGGAAGAATTGTTTTCAATTCACTAAGCATGAGGTGTCCTTTTCTTATGCAATTAAGTGGTGACGAAACCTAAGTAGGGATGAGTTAGCATCCAAAGTTTCTTAGGTGGACAAGTGGCATAAGGAGGTTAAACCAACAATTTATTCATCTCCCTATTTTGCTCCATTCGGTTTATATATATTATGGGAATTAGGAGAGAGTTTTTGCCTTTAAATGCTCCTAAGTTATATACTAAGTATAGAAGGTAAGAGAGAGTGGAGGTAGTTTCCCTTAGCCGCTAGTACGCTCGAGAGTACCGTACGCACGGAAGTATCACGCACGAGCGCCGTACCGAGCGGAGTTAGCCAAGTGATTTTCAAGGTAAAAATTATATTGATCTTCTCCTTAAGTTAGTAAGATCATATTCAAGTTTATTGTTCGGTCACGCTCGTGAGTTAGCCTTGAAGTTATGTTCGACCGTGCATATGGTCTATGGCGAGCATGTTCAGTTTTGATCCAAATCTCTCGAACTATTGTCATGTATTCAGTCATTTTATGTTATATCATGTCCAGTCAGCTCATGTTGCTAGAAGAGTTTTCATGTTTAATCGTTGAGTTGGCCAAAGGGCGTGGTCGCGCACGTAGCGCGCACCACGGGTCGTGCATGCTTCGCGATCGTGTTAAGTGGTAGTCCTTCGAGCAATTCATGTCAATTTGTTTAGTAACAGTATTTCATGTTCAGTTATGTGTTAGTTGTCGGGAGAAATTCATGTTCGGTCGAGAAGCGACTTAACGCCGTAGGCGGGCACGGTGTGCACGTCACAGCCATTTTTAGCATATTATGCAAAACTCATGATTTTGAGTATTTTCAACAAATTAGACAATGTCAAGTCAGTTCATGTTGTTTCATGTTGAGTTGGTAGAGAGATATCGCCGGACGGCCGGCAAGGGCCGGTCGTAGCCACGCTGC